TCTGCTGCTGCCTCTCTCCTACAATAGAATCCCCTTTGCCAAAAAATAACAGGTTCTACTTAGGATTTGCTGAGTTCTGTGACAGAAGAAACGCATCCTACTCTTGCAATGCACCCATGGGGGCTTCATGCTGAGAGAAGTGATGCTAAGAAGCCCATGTTTACAGCTCGCATCCATCTCTCGTCACGTGATGTACATCCTGCTCCTTTCCACATTGCCCTGGGATGATGGGTTTTAAGTTTTGGAAAAGCAGAAGCTTGAGCACTCAGAAGATCTGATCCCAATCCCTGGATGAATAACCTTAGGGTAAAATGAGGTACTTGTTTTAGGAATGGTAGCTCTTAAAGGTGAGGTTAGTCTCTGTGTTTCTCTGGTGTATGGTGTACATATCCTCCTTTACAAATTTTGCCATGTTTGATTTTTTATTTGTCAAGAAAATTCTGTGAATTACAGAAGCGCGTTCACTTTTCCTGACCTTTTAAGTATGTTTTGCTTGGATAAACTTTCCAAGCTGTTTCTTCTACACGTTAAAAACTTGAAGAGACATGCGGGAGACAGGCAGGTGATGTACAGAATGCTGAAAGGTTAAATGGCAGGTGTGCAAAACACTTCTGTGATTTGCAGAATATATGAGAGACAATCATACATTGTTCTTACTACAAGAAGTAAAGGAGAACAGGAAAATACTCTCACGATCCAATTGTCTGTAGTCTTACTGTGAGGATGACTCATCTGCATTCATTTTTTATCATTAAACTGTTGAACATTTTTATTCTTTGTGATCCAGGCAGCTGGTGACTTTTATCCCTGCACGCTGATATGCATTTCATTTTTCTCTCTGTGGTTCACCCATCAGTAAAGTCATCTAAATATAGCAACTTCAAGTGAAGCTGCGCTGCCAGGAGTTAATGGACAAGCACTGATGTGACCAAAATTACCTAAACGAGCATTGTTTTGCAGCACCTGAATCCTAAAGGAGAGATGCTCACCAAAAAATTGGAGCACAGCACTTTTCCAGTCTTTACCCCTTAGCAAGATCCAGTTCAGAGAATCAACCAGCACGAATGAGGCACCATGAGGTGCTCTCTCAAGCTTGATGGCATGTGATGGGTTTGCACTGGTTGCTGAGGATGGCCTCTTGCTGTCACAGTGATGACAGGCATACAGGAGACAGGTTCCTGGAATGACTATGCAACGCTTTCGTTTCTCAAAGCCTACCCTTGCAATGCAATGAAGTTCCTTAATGCGGAGAGCACCTCATGGGACTCACACTGAGTGAAAACTTTCAGATGTGCCCAAGTGTTTGGCAGCCGGGGGACAAGAGCCCAGGTAAATCTGTAGCATCCCCCATCCCCATCCTCGTCCCCATGTGGCAAGGTGCTTCACAGCTTAACTGTGTGCTTGTCACAGGAGTAGCGCTACCATCAGCCAAGTTTTGACTTCGCTATTTACCTCCTTTCTCAAACATTTGTGAGTGTGCTGAACAGCACAGACTCCGGCCGGATGACTTTTGCCCTCTGGGGAAGACCCTTCTGCACTGTGAAAGCTGATCATCCCTTCCTGTCCTCTATTGTACACATCTCGTTCAATGCACAGACCTTTCCTTTTAACACAGTAGAGTTTCTTTTTCCTAAGAGCACCTGCAGATGCATCTCACTGAATGCCTCTCGGAAAACCAAGTGGATGGAGTCTACCTGCACCAACCTTGTCCACATGCATGAAGAACTCCAGCAGAGGTGTGAGACATGACTGCCCCTTACAGAGATGTGGTGACCTTTTGTTAATGTTTTGCATTTATTCCCTTACATGCTGTGGCAAAACCCCACAAATTAAGTATATTATTATTATACAGGTATATTCAGGAGCAATATATTGTTTGCATTCTCTAATATGGTACGTTGTGTTCACTAATGTGATTCCTCTGCTAGAGACTCTATTAACTTGACTGGCATAGATGCCATGTTCACTCTTTGGTAGTTCCTTAAATACCCCTTGGAATTGCTGTTAAAAAAAATCCATGTAATTAGTTGCTATTACAATTATTTCTCCTCTCTTTGCATTTCTCTCTCTGCTAATGCAGTAGATGCATACTTTCAGCCATTGCACCTCACTCCAAGGTTACAGGAAAATGTTTTTATTGTAGCCTCTCAATGGGCTGTGAAATGAATAACAGAGCCAGAGTCTGCCACTCATGACGAAGTCAACATGCCAAATCACAGCTTTTCAAAATTATTTTCTATAGAAAAAAGACTGTGTTGCCACAGTATCAAAGTTTCAACTGCAAAGAGCAAACCGTCTTCTTTTAGCCAGGCTGAATGGATGATGCTAGACTCTTACAGGTGGTGCAATTAGGCAAAAAAAGTCTGCTGCGAAAAAAAAAGACCACTAATGACCTAATGCGTGCTCCATCAAATTGAAAACATGATTTTTTTTTTCTCACATGAACACTGCGTACTATAAGGTACTGAACAATCCTGGGAATAGGGGCTGGATATACTTGTACTCCCATTCAGACAGAGTATTTGGGTACTGGTGCTCGGGTTAAGGCAGAAAGGTGCTAAAGCGGTGGGGGAAATACACTGTGCAAAGTAGACCACCATCCAGAGTTTTGGATGATTTCCAGGAAATGGGTGATCCTCAGCAGAAGGAATGGCTTTGCATGCCTAGGCCAATACCCTGCCAGACGTAGGGATGGGCACATGATGGGGACACATACAGAATGATAGGATTGTCTAGGTTGGGAAGGGACCTTCAAGATCATCTAGTCCAACCATCAACATAACTCTGATCACTAAACCATGTCTCTAAGCGCTATGTCTGCCTGTCTTTTAAATACCTCCAGGGATGGTGCCTCAACCACTTCCCTGGGCAGCCCATTCCAATGCTTAATAAACCTAATATTAATTATAATATTTGTGTCTTAAAACCGGTAGTTGGGACTACACTTTCAGAGGTGCTGACCCAGTTTCAATGGGTTTCCTAAATTCTGGGAACGGCTGTTGGACTGAGCTTTGAAGGGTGAAGGTGGAAGAATGCCATATGTGGCTTAGGTAAGAGAAGGCACTAAGTCTTCAGTCTTTTCAGTGCCGGGACATTTTGGGGTTTGGGCAGAAGTATCGATGTGGACAACTGACTAAATTTCACAGAAGGGAAGCCCGATGTGCCTCAAAGCTTAGATAAGGGCTGAATGGTAGCTTATAGGATTGCTGTACAGGCCTTTGATGCCTTCCTTCTGCAAGTCCCATGTAAAAAGCTTCAACCCTTGTTCAGATTACTTTGTAAACCCTTTGTGCTTTGGTTTCTTTTTAAGATGGGTAGTCATATGTATCACCAACGGTAATGTGATTTGAAATGACTGTGGAAAAGGTGAATATGTTTATTCCAGGTGCCTGATGCCAAAACTCAGAAAAGTGGCGAGTGAGACATGCCATGAAAAGGCAGAGCAGACGGAGGAAATGCAGAAATGCCACGGGACAGAAGTTAAAAACACTTATAAAAGGGGAACTGGCTAAAATAAGGCCATATTCTGTCTCTCAGCCCTGAAATAAAAATAAAAATCAGATTCAAATAAGCTCTCGAAGTGACAGATTTCTCTTCAAGACTGTGTGGAGATTTCTATGCTAGAGATCAGTAGTTGTGCAAGCGTTTCTTGCCCATGCATGTAAGCAACCCGTAAGAACACAAACCTGTTAGATTAAACCTCAAGGCGCCATGTGCTGGGTAATCCACAGAATCACATTAATGGCTGTGTTTACTACAGCCTAGACGACACATGGTGTGCACACAGCTTAGAGAGCTTCCTTTTGCTAAAGCGTAAAGAAATGCAAATTCTGTTACTTGGACTACGCCTGGGGTCTAAGCTCAGTGGCCACGTTATCAAGGAATCAACAGTGTTTCTGTGGTATGAAGAAAGATCAATTTTAAAGGAAATAAGTCTTACTGTGGAAGTATACTTAATCAGTGGCACAGTAATGAAGGCCATGCTTGAGGGTTTAGCCTGGAGAAGAGAAGACTGAGAAGGGAACTTATCAATGCTTATCAATATGTAAAAGGTGGGTGTCAAGAGGATGAGGCCAGGCTCTTTTCAGTGGTGCCCAGCAACACAACAAAGGACAACAGGCACAAACTGGAACACAGGAACACAGAGGGTTGGACTAGAAGATCTCCAGAGGTCCCTTCCAACCCCTACAATTATGTGATTCTTGAGTTAAAATGCACTAATAAAAGTAATGGCCAGGTATAATTTAAAGAACACGCTACCCTCTAAATGGAAAATACAGAGATCCTAGCAAAATAAGATCTTCACTGTAGACATCTCTAAGCCAGTGTCTACATTGGCTGTCTTGATCCGCTCACAAACAAAACTCTCTGGCCTATTTCTCTTTTCTCTGCCTTTCCTCCTTATTACAGAATCACAGAATCTTCATGGTTGGATGGGACCTAAGAGATCGACTCCAACCACAAAAAAAACCCCAAACAGACACAAACCAACAACCTCGGGCACTAGAGCATGCCCTGAAGTGCCATGTCTACATGTTTCTTAAATACCTCCAGGGATGGTGACTCCACCACCTCCCTGGGCAGGCTGTTCCAGTGCCTGACCACCCTCTCAGTAAAGTAATTCTTCCTAATATCTCATCTAAACCTCCCCTGCCGCAACTTCAGACCATTTCCTCTGCTCCTGTCATTATTCCCTTGGGAGAAGAGGCCAACACCCACCTCTCTACACCCTCCTTTCAGGTAGTTGTAGAGGGCAATGAGGTCTGCCCTCAGCCGCCTCTTCTCCAAACTAAACATGCCCAGTTCCCTCAGCCTCTCCTCACAGGACTTGCTCTCTAGACCCCTCACCAGCTTGGTGGCTGGTGGTGCGCCGCAGCTCCCGCCCTCACGGCCGCCCCGCCCTCGCGGCCGCGCGCGCGCCCCGTCCAGCGCGCGGAGGCAGGGAGGGGAGGGTGAATTGTCCCTCGGAGGCCGCCGTGGCGGTCAGGTGAGCGGCGTCACGTGACGGCGGTGGCGGAGGGCGGGGGAGCGGAGCGGAGAGCAGCGCAGTGTAACGGCGGCGGCCTTCGGGTGCCCGGGCTACCGGGGCCTGCCGGGCCTTTCCCTTCCACAGCCCACACCCGCCGGCGTGCCCCTGGGGTGAGTGAGAGCTGCCCTCCGCGGGGGCGGGCGGGGGGTCGTCGGGGCCTTTCACGGGGGGTCGTCCCGGGGTGGTCGGGGCCTCTCACGGGGGGCTGTGGCCTGCCCGCCTGAAGGGCCCCGTAGCTTCCCCCCCAGGGTTTGGGCCCCGCTGGGCCCCTCATGAGGCGGCCGGGTCTTTGAGTCAGTGCGGGGAGTGGCGGGAAGAGGGGCCGTGTTCCTTCTCCTTCCTCAACTGCCCCAGGCGCCTCTCGGCTTCTGCGGCTTGTGTGTGCTGCTGAAACCCTGCCACCCACCCTGCCCTCCTCTGCGCCTCCAACAGTGCTTAGAGGGCGCGGTCCGGGTCATGTCAGAGCTCGGAAGCCTTCAGTGGTCATTGAAAGCCATCGTTAAATGGTGTCGTCTTAGTGAGTGTCTGCTGACAGACGTAGTTTCAAAGGGAGGGCAGTTCTGCTGCTCCATTTCCTCGGGAGAGTTCCTTTTTTTCCCCTTTTTTTTTCTTTTTCTTTTGTTTGAAGCATGTTTTCATTCAGTCATACGAGGTGTGCTCGTTAGGGATGGGGCAGAACGTGCCGGTTTGCTCTTGCTTCTGTAAAAGGAGCCAAAAAGGGCCAGAAACAGGCTGCGTGGAGCGGCTTGATGCAGTTTAGGTTGTAAGGAATTCCAGCTCCGGTTGGGCCTCAAGCTTCTGCAAACACACTTCTTGTTTTGGCATCACAGTCAGGTGGAGATTAAACCATAAAGGAAGGAGAAAGGAGAAGTGGTGAAGGTCACAGTCTATGGTAATGTGGTATGTTCAGAGGAATAGCTTTTGTATTTATTTCTGAGTTTGCTTTCTGGACAATGATAATTTGAATTTTCTTGTTAGTGTGTGTAACTTGGTTGTTAATTTATATAAGTTGCTCTTTTCTGAAGTTGTTCGTGTGTTTCTAATGTCTTCAGGTAAATACCTGAACAAAGTCAGTCCTAATGTGTGGGAGAGGCACTGGATTTTAACCCTAATTTGGAAGAAAGACAGCTTCTGTTATCTGTAGGGCTACTTGGACATTGCAGAAGGGTAGTTTTTATTCAAATAACTTTGATTGTTTAAGAGTTTAAAAGACTGGGAGTTATTTAGGAATGGTATGTATCTTTCATTTTAGCAGACTTGTGATTTGTTTCAGTTTGGCATGTAAATATCGGTTCCTTTAGTTTGTTGCAGGGAAGTTGTGTTTTAGATGTTTTACAAAACTTTGATTTCTCAGAAAGCACTGAGTACAGTTTTAGGGAATAGAATATGTGAAATTAGATTTTCCTTTTTATTTCTTTAAAATATTGGACAGATACTCATCTCTTTAACATTTTAATAAGAGGTCTCAAATCTGACTTGTGTTTCTAGGTACACTTTAATTCTCAATTAAGATGGATATCCGAGGTGCTGTAGATGCTGCTGTCCCAACAAACATCATTGCTGCCAAAGCTGCTGAAGTTCGGGCAAACAAAGTAAACTGGCAGTCATATCTCCAGTAAGTAAAAACCTTTCCACACTTTTTTTTTTTCTTTCCTCTTAGGTGTTAGACTTTTGGGGATTTTGGTTTACATTGGAGCATTAGGTTATAATGAGGAACAATCTGTCTTGGTCCCATGGAAACAGTTGGAAAAAGTCTACATTAAGTGGAAATGGTTGGGGAAAATTTTCTAATGACTTATTACAAAAAAGGGAACTCTCCTTTTGTGAACTGAATGCTGTAATAACGAGTAATACAAGTTTGTGTGAATGTGTGGCAAAACTCTCCATTTTTTTCTCCTTATCATTCAAACACTATTCTCAATTTTTTGCTTATTGGACAAGTACTGATATAAGAGAAGTTTACAGTAAGAGTTGTCTTATACGTGGGTATGTTGTCTCTATTGCTGAAGTGCCTTCTGTGTGAATACAAGTTGTACTAGCAAAACTGAGGGGTAGTCCAGGAAAATAAGCTGCACCTCAGCTAAAGGAAGAACAGTGATGGAGAGCAGTTGAAACAAGTAAATTGGGGAGTAGGTTGAAACATCTCCAGTGTGGCGAGAGCTGGGCTTGCCATTTCGGACAAGCTCAGAGTTTACTTTGGAAGGTATATAATGGCACTGGAAACAGTGAAAGAAATGTTGTCCAGAAAGCTTATAGGGACACACTGAGGAAAATGGATTTGTGTATGAAGTAGGGAACAAGGAGAAGAGACTTTTACTAGAAGACTTTTACTAGTTCTCTGTACTCTGAAGTGTAATGCAGGATTCTTGTATCCCTACATTCCTCATGACAGATACCTATGAAGAATATTGGCAAAGTGTAAATTAGTATCTTGAGGGTCCACATATTACTTCGGTGTTAGTTGCTTTGTAACTGAAGTAGCAGAAATCTTGATGATTCTAGAGGTACAAGCCATGCTGATGATGCTTTGTGATCATCAATGTTACACCGCTTTGCAAAAGATAAGTTTTTTTCAGATAGCTGTGATACCTTTATATTTAAGTATATATTTATGTTAAAATAAGATTGCAAAACTGTACACGTGCACGCTGAGAAATGCTAGCATGGAAGAATCTCATTAATGACCACCTGCTTTTCCCTGTGCAAGGTAGCTCAGTCTTGCCTATTCCATTCATTCAGTTGTGTTATTTTTATTCTCTGTGGTTGTATATCTACATGGTAAATTGGATTAGGGAACTGATCTGCTGAGGAAGCTTTCTTTCTCTAGGCTATTTTTTCAGATATATCAGTTCCTTGTTAAATTTGCAGTATGACATTACAGTGGCTTTGCAGGGAAAGAGCGAGGTTGGTGTGGTAACTTGACAACAAGAATTGGGTGTACAATAGTTTGCTGTTAATCTAAATGAATATGGGATAGTCTTTTTTTACAGCATCTCTAGTGTTTCAGCCTATAATGCTGTAAGATTTCATCTGTTGCTTTTCTTAGTATAGGAGATGGTTCTGTTTGGCAAGGAGTTGTATTTTGAATACATACATAGTATTAATTGCTTGATTGGGCTTTATATGGTCTAGCATTTATAATTTGCCTTCATTCTTGGGGTGTTGTCTCTCTGGTGCTGAATAATGATGGGGGAGTTTTCTTTGTCAGCAGATTTCTATGTAACTTCTCTTGACCAGGAGGCAGTGTTGATGGTTCTTTTTCAGATTCTAGATGTAGAATTGGACTCTGCTCTATTTCTGGAATCTATGAAAGAAGAATGTACTACTTATTTTCTCTTTTTGATAGATTAGCTGGATTTCGGAGACTACTGTAGTACATCTGGCTAGTGTTTGTCACCCCGTTGTGAGTCTGCTCAATGCCTGGTGCCTTCTGTGTGTCAATGACAGTGTGTCCTGTTTATTATTGCTCTGAAATGAATGTAATCTTTGTGCCTTGTATTTACTGATAACAGCCTGGCTGTCTGGTTAAGGGAGCTTCAAGGATGAACTTTTACAACAGGCTCATTTGGACGTGATGGTGTTTTTGAGGATTTGTTGAAAAGTCAGTGCAGCTATATTGACTCATTTCTGGAGTGAAGCACACTATTAATGAATGGAAACTGCTTGCTTCTGATGCAGCTGTCAGAGGCAGGTCAGGTGGCTTGTTCTGGTCTTTAGAGTAGAAGGGAGATAGGGTGCTGATGGTTTTGAAGGACACTTCTCTTGCTTTCTTCTGAGCTCCTGTTCTGGCAGTCTGCATTAAACTTGAGTATAAATATATGGAGGCGTACTTCAAGTCATCAGGCGTTTTTGTATTAGAGGAAGGATTTTTGTTTGTTTTCCCTAAGCTAACACATCAACTCAAGCATGACATAATTTGTGTTCCTTAAACTATTGATAGCATTTGTGTAGTTGAATTAAAGAACTTCACACGAAATTCTCATGAATTTTGTTTTTTTTCAAATCTGTGACAGTTGTACGTGTATAAAGATGCTTTAAAGATTGCATCAGTTGCAACAGCATTTGAGTCTTGCTCACACAGGAAGGCTTTCTGAAGTTTTCTGCTCTCTATTCATCAGTTCAAAAGTAAAATGACCTACTAATAGTTAGTCAGACTCTAGTAGCCTGACTTCTCTTGAAGAGTCATTTAAGCTAAAGATTAACTGGTATATTGTTTATTCCATCTCTGAAGGTTATAACTGTAAACTAAATGTCAAACTATGCTGACATACAACTACACACAACTGCTGACTTCTGATGTTTTCTGTGTATACTGTTGGCACAAAAGTGAAATATTTAGCTATTACAGCTGCACGCAGTACTGGTTTCCCACTGTGTTCACTGGTTACTTCAAAATTAGGCTGTGGAAAAAAAAATTTAAATCTTAAAGTTTACATTTACGTTGAGTTCCAGCTATGGCCTGTGTCTGAGGGAGAAGAAAGTAACACAACTTGGAACAGTGGAAGGTGATGTGTAGGATCTAGCTACCTTCTGGAAACTAAACGTTGTTTAGGCCATTAGCTCTGTAGAGACTTTCCTGCCTTTGGACCTTTGGGTTTGTAGTAGTTTAGAGGTGTTGATGCCATCTGAAAAATACGGTGCATCGCTCTTGTGTACCATGTGGTTGCTTTCAGCGTTTGCCTCGGGGTGTCAGAATGCCTTTGGAGGGTGTGTTATTTTGCTTAATGCAAGTTTGATTTTGCTTTCTAAGGGTAGTAAATTACTTCTGTGGAAAAGCAAACTCGTTTCAGACTTTTAACTTGCATCTTACTGCACCTTAGGTTTTCTAGGTATGCAGCATTTGACAATGTGTCATATTTCATCAGCTGAGATACCTGATGGCTCATTTGTACATGGCTTCCCATGTCTCTTTAAGTACTTTACATATATGTTTGTGAATTCTGATGTTAAAACATCTATTTTAGTTTCTGGGGGAACGTTCTAAAGCAGGTTAAACGTCTCGGACTTTAAAAACAAATCTTGTCTTAGAAGAAAGATAGGAGTTTCCTAACTTGTGTGGGTTTTGGCTTGTATTGTGTTTTAAATTTTGTTCCAGTCTTGCGGGGTACATTCAGTTTGTTTCACTGTTTTAATTTTGTAATGTTAAAGCTGTTGAGCAATTGGATCAAATGAGTGTCCTTTAGGTACATGGAAAGTACTGTAGATACTTGGATAAAAGAAATTATGCCTTGACATGATGGCCTCTCATGAACTTCATGTTTGCTGCAGATTTTTTTAAAAAAACAACCCAAACACCAATCACCCTCCAAAATTAAAAACCAAACGAAAAAACTCCAACTAATCTCTGGAATGACTTCTGTTAAGTCATTCTAACACTAAAAAGGAACAAGAGCTGATGGAGGAAGTGCATAATAAAAAGAACAAATCACGAGTTTCTGAATCATCTTGAGAGACCAAGAGGTTTTAAAAAATGGTGGTCTTACAAATTCATGCTTTCTAAATCTTACACAGCTTCAGTTTACTCTCCTGTAGCTAGTGCTTTCACTGGCAGGCCTTAGTATCTCAAGCATTTTAAAATGTGGTTACAGGACTCCTGGTCTAAACCTGATATATCCAGACAACTGAAGCTCAAAGTGACTCTTACCTGTTGACAAAAGGCTGTATAGACAGATCCTGGAAAATAAGAAATTAAATGGCTGTTAGAAAGAGGGATGGAGGGAACCTTTGGTTACTTGAATTGCTTCCTTAAAGGTGCTGAGAAATTCCTGCCTCTTTGAAGACGGGGCAAGGAAAATGTGGTAACAGCATCACGGTAGCCAGAACCCGCTGTCTGAGGCTGATCTGCATTTTTGTATGTGTTTGTTTTGCACTGGTTGCTAATGTTTACTACATAGTCAGTTATTTGAATTTTAAAATGAGATCAAAAGTTTTATTAATTTCAAATTCATCCATTTCTATTGATCAGATGTATGAGATCCTTGATAACATATTAACAGCTTGTTCACAAAACTGACAAATCCCTTGTACCGTTTTGTACGGGTTGGAAAGTATCCAATGTGCACTTAAAAAGCAATATAGAGTAAACTCTAACTTCTTTTCTTCTCAAGGCAACATTAATCCGTGCACTTTCTTCTTTATCCTTTTTTTTTTTTTTTGTGGTCTAATGTACGATCAAAGCAAAAGCTTGAAAGCTTTTTTTTCCTTGACAGTTGGCAGAGCTCTTCTAATAGCCTGGCTATAAAGAAGCATATCTCTTCCTAGGCTGAGACCTTTTCCGAGCATTAAAGCTAAAACTTAGGGGTTCACCTTATGTCATCTTTGAAGTGCATCCTAAATGACAATAGTCTTATAAACAAGCAGATCTGATTACTTTATATCGATATCATCCACGAGTCCCTGGCTTGGCCAGTATTGATTGAAACATGAGAGGCTTCTAGTTTTGGGTCGTTAAGCCCAGTATTTGTGGTGGATGGATTGTTCTGATCTTTCAACAACTACCTAAGTCCATCCTTAATAGGCAAGAAAGAACACAAGTCAATCTAAAAGGCATGTGGTAGCAGCATGGTCATCACTGGCTAATTACTTTTTCATCTATAATTATTTTTTACTAGAAAT